ATGGCCACGTAGGAAGTACCGAAAACGAAAAAATAGCTCCAGTAGTTACCTGGGCGAGCAGACATGATGATTCGGCCATGACTGCCCAGGGCAATATCCCAGCTCTGTTACAGAATCATGGTTTTCTAAGTAATTAAATCATTTTCCCCACCTGTCCTCTTTCATTTGTCGCTTTCAAATGGACAGAGTCTCCCTCAGAGGCGAATTGGCGAATTCATAAGGCATTCTCTTCTCAGAGTACTATCTCTCTTTATACTGATCCTTCAGTTTCTTCAGCCAGTTTTCGTAGAGAGGACTACCTGTTCACCTGCCCAAGTGGTAAAAGGAAATGGGACCAGGGCTGAAAGAGCAGGTCCCTAAACACACTAATCGGTTCAGCAGTACTACTTGGAAGGGAAGGTGATTTTGCAGTACCAGTATATCAGCCGAAGTAGGGAAGCTGGATGACTTCTTTTTCTCCTAGAGGCTGAGTTATCCATCTAGTAATGAAGTCGTACATTGAAAATTACCTGAGTAGAGCGGCGCCTCATTCTCAAGAGCTCAATTTCTTTACTATTAATTATTATTGAGATTTATATAAATCATGTACAATCTGACAAGATAAAACGGCAAGACTTGGTCCACAATGCCACACATAGAACATGAAAAAAATAAAATCGATCAATCAATCAATCACTTCCAATCAATAATTTAAAAGAACACAGATCCGTAAATGATTGCTTGGGGACTTGTGTACGTGAGGAAATATCCTATGAAAAATACAGATGAAAAATAGGATGAAGAAGAGCACGGGGATGAGAGATGTGGACTGGCTTCACAAGCCCCAGTGATGGCTGACCTGGTTCGCTTACGTAACCACCATGGCCAGCCGACCGACAAAGATCATTTCGTAAATTCTCAATAAAGCAAGCAGATGATGATGATTAAAAAGGATTATCTCTTTATACTAGTAACCATTGTACCCTGAATGTGGTAGAATATACGGTTGGTAATAGGCGGATTGGTCATAAAACGGCTTAAGCTCATCGCTTGAAGAATACTTGAGTGGGTCGTAAGTGGACAGAGGGGTGTTTAAGGGCGGTGGCATTAAGCCTGATGGTGGCACTGCGGTCTGTTGAGACTGAGGTGGCAGTACCGTGGAGGGTAGAGTGGAGGGACCGAGACCAGTGGGTGGAAGTCCAGCTGAAGGCAAACTGGCAGGAGCTAAGCCGGTCATGTGCTGCCAGTCTGTCACGTTGTTGTTGGAGCCACTTTCTTCTGGAGGAGTTGAATCAGCTCGATCTTCAGACTCGCCTTCCTCGTCCGATGTCCGCTCTACGCTGCCCTTCGACTTTTTCTGCTTTGAACGACGATTTTGGAACCAGATCTTCACCTGAAAAGATGATTGTGATTAATTCGAGTGGGCTGGTAGATTCCCTGGTTTGAACTGTTCTATAACATCCGCATTTGGCCTTTTCATTCATATGTGTGTGTATGTCAGTTCGTCATCGGACACGCGTGTCCTACAGCGAGCATTCTTTGTTATAGGGTAGGATAATTGGCGCAGGATGCCGGCGCTTGGAGGTCGAGCGCACGCCAACACCATGCGGATTACGGTAGCGCAGCGGCGGGCGGCCAACGTTGGAGCGCGCAGGTGACGCAGGTGTTCGTAGGAGCGGAAAATCGGAACGCGCGTGCCGACGAGACATTGCTATGAGCAGGGATGGTCGAGAATGATAATTCGTGCCGGATACGGTAGTCGTGGAGACGACGGTCATCTGGGCTTCGCGACGAACGCCCTTTGAAGGACGACTGCACAGAATTGAATGAACGGCCACAGGTTTCCCGGTAAAGGATGGAAAGGGTAAGAGAGTAAGCGGAAGTTCTATCAGGAAACTTATTTCCTTTCCGACCACGGTTGAGTCAGTCTAAATGGAAAGGAAATTTCTTCTCGAAACGTTTTCAATTGCGGGACTCATCTCTGAAGAGGGGGAGGGGGGTGATACTTTTCAAAACCATTCATCACCACTTCAATAATCGCCTTAATCGAGCCCCAATAAGCCAGAACTTGGCCTCTGATCTCAAGGTTTTTTTCAGAAATTTTCAAAATTTTATTTTGATGTCAGTAGGCCGTTTAGTCACTATCCCACCCCATTAAACAGCCATTTGATCAGAGCAATTCCCAGGTCTGAAAGAGACCGATTTCCGAGCAAAATACCAGTTTACAATATATTGATATGGAGATAATGTAGCAGAAACGAATTTCAAACTGGTCGCAAATCATCGTTGGACCGGGCTGGCTGGGTCATAATCATCATCAGCGCTGAGCGTTAAACTACCTCCCGCAGCCTCTCAAGCAATAGTTAATGGTCCATGAATCTCGTCGCACTTGTCGATTGGCCGAGGTGTGATGAGAATGGGAATCGTGTCAACATCTGGATAGCTGTCTGAGTATCTTTTTGACACGGAACATTTTGAAATGAGGACTTCGGACTCGAATTTGGGTAATTGTAGGTCTCAAAGGTGAGGATATTCTAGGGGATCCGAACGACGTTGAGGACCTTGCACCCTGAAGTCCTCATCAATGCGTCCAAATGAAAAATCGCTTTAGAAGTTTCGGTACAAGTTTAACTGAAGGTAGGATAGATGGGCAAAGCAGGTAGGACAACGATCAGAAGTCAATCGATTCACCAGCGTCAGCTTCGCCGTCCAGTTGCCCCCATGATCAAGAGGGAGTGGGAAAGGTTTTTGTCGCGAACCCATTATTACAGTAACTATATAAGTGATCAAAGTTATATAATTAATTTCTACTAACGAAGTGTTAATCGAAGCGAGAAGTAACTTTTGAAAAGAGAGATTTGGTAAAATCCCCATATCTCTTCGTTTCCCTGGGGTTCAAAAAGATTCTGCAAAGCTGGTTTCTGCTCGTATGCTGTATGCTTGCTTTTCATGGTCGCCCTAGCCAATCCAAGTTATGCCATCTAACTGTCACAATGGTGGACCTGAGAATTGCCTTAGAATTGCCTCGAACTTCAGAATAAATGGAAGAGAGGTCGAAAAACCTCTCCGCGGGTCCCTTTTGGGAATAGCGCTCCACCATCTCTGCCTGATGCTCCAAAACAATCCTGTACAGATGTTTTCAGATAACCTGACACTTCTTTGAAGAATTCTCATCTGGGCAGGGCTTTCAAAGGCTCTATGGAACACCCAGAAATCTGCATCGCCATCTAGGCATACATCAACATATTTTTACTTTCCTTTAGAATTCACTCAATGATGGAGCAACTTCTACTGCTGTTAACCCGTACTTAACCTCTAACTAATTTTAACGAGAAAATCACCCGGAATAGATAAATTTAGTCTACTTAGGGGTAGGGTGACCCAGGCCATTACCTGAAACAGCTTTTCGAATTAGTTTATGGTTTTTTCAGAGCAGTTACGGAGAGTTCATTATTCTGTGCGAAACAAAAGCGCATTGTACCGTCAGCGAGGTGGTTGGGGCCATCAGGGACGCAACGACGACGGATTGTAAAACGTAGCTGCGTCGCAAGGCCATTTCACCTCGTAAAAGGGCATTATAGCCTCTTAGCGACTCAGCAGCTTGGGATTTGCCAAAAAAGATCAAACAAACGCTCCTGAGTTACAGCAATCCAAAGAGGGTCATCCCGATTTTGGTCATGAACTATTAGGACGTACATGGGTTGGGGGAATGGAGTGGTAGCGATGTTTGTGTTGTATATGCCTACTAGCCTAAAGCGTTTTGTATACCCCTTCCACTCACAACTTGCACTCTACGATAAGCTACAATTAAAGCATACTGTAGTAGTGAAATAGTGGGTTTGCGGTGAAGTAATGACGGGTTAAATCATATCAGGCAAGCCGACGCCTCGAGACTTCGCTCAGCCGCAGGGTTACAGCGTGGATGGGCAAAAACTCGAATAGGCTTCTCGATAAATAACTATTTTGAGGGGCCTTTCAAGGTCCCGAGGAAGTAGAAATGAGCCCCGTTCTATTTGTTGAGAAAATTTGCATGTATGGATGGAAGAAACAGCCTTTCCCCTTCAGAATCTCCCGGAAAAGTCGGGACTGGGAGCTATCGAAAGGCAGACATCAAGTCAGCTCTTACTAAATAGAATACTTGAATTTTTTGATCATGCCCTAAGGTATCAATTCGTTGCTCATGAAAGTTAGCAACCGATAAATGGTCTCAAAATGAGCCCGTCATAGCTATTCAGCAAAGAGAAATAGCTACAGACATGTCTAAAGCGGCAAAATTGCTTTTCACATAGAATGATCAAAAAAAGTCTAGAATATTCTAAAAGCGTCAAATTTCTGCATGAAATGACTTAAAGAATCTCAGGGAGATATCGGCCCTTCTTGTTGGTCGAAAGGAGCTCAACAGAGCCGAATGATCGCACCCTGGACGAATTTTTCTCAAAAAAAAAAAGACATTACACCAGTTGGACATTGTCAGAAGGCCCTTAAGTCCCTACACGGCTCTCTATAGATGGGTTTCTGAGCAAAAACGAAAGGAAGGATTGACCTCGCAACTTCCTGCTGACATGCTGACAAGATGCGCCATCAGATAACGGGCATATGTTGTCTTGCCATGAGTGACATGCACGCTGATACGATCTACCACCTGCGTCCCGGCGCGAATTGCGGGTCCCCAAACCTGAGGCTTCCACGCACTGACAGGACCACTACTGACAACGGGTTAGTAACTCGAGTAACTGCGTCCCGACGCGAATTGCGGGTCCCCAAACCCGAGGCTTCCACGCTACTACTGACATCAGGTAAGTAACCCGAGCAAATCCGAACACAGCGGTATACGCCCTTTGAGAGCTTGTAATGCGACACATGTCATGTCTTTTCGTCTCGTCCATGGACCCCCATTGTGTGTCCATGTGTTTTGCCGATTCTGATCAGACCGGCGACGGCTCAAGTTACTACAGTAACCCCGAGACCCGTCCAGAATGACAGGCAATTGTAACGAATCGATATGAGAGAGGAAATGATAGTCGAGAGCAAGATTAGTGGGAAGCGAAAGCAGCTGACCTGGGTTTGTGTGAGGCCCAATTCAGCGGCCAGGGAAGCTCGATCCGGTAGCGCCAAATATTGCGTCTTGGTGAATCTGAAACACATGAACCCTTATCTGATGAGTTAATTGATGGCTGCATAAAGTCCACGTACCGCTTCTGAAGCGTTTGTAATTGTTGACTAGAGTAGATAGTACGCGGTTTTCGGACTTTCTTGCCTTTGCCATTAATCTTCACCTCGCCGCCTTCGATGATTTTCGTCGTCATTTGATCTGGAAGAGAGAACGGGCTTCAACCGTCATAATCATTACTAATGACCGGAAATTGGTATGCTGCCAAACGACGTCCAATAAAGAAAAACTGCCAGAAAACCCGAACACAAACCTTCCGGTGAGCTGGCGGCCGCTTGTGGGTACATAAAATGAGCTGGTTGTTGTGAATACATAGTTGAAGCGGTGCTGGTGGAAAAATTGTAGAAATACGGCGAAACCTGGGATCGAGCCGAGAAATCCTGAGCGGTCGGATAGCAATAGCTGCCATAATCGACGAACGGCTTCTGGTCCATGTCCATATCCGAGTGAGGAGCTGTACGGCTGCCGGCTGACGATCGTCGGCGACAGGAACAACGCGAATGGAGCAGACGCGAGGTTTGCAGTGAGACTCACACAGAGAGACGGTGGTGTGGTAGTCTTCGAATGGTGCGCAGTCTATGTGCGGAGGAGGGCGGCGCTCTGCTATTGGCCGGCGCCCAATGTGGCCCTAGGCCAAACCACGCCCCTACGACGGCACCCCGAGACTCGAAGACACGCCCCCCATGTGAACTGCCTTATCAGTACGGGGTGAAGCATCTGGGCAGTATCAGATAATGTCCATGACAAGGTGTTGCAACTAAGAGGACGATTATAACACGGCGGCGCATAGTTAGCGAATTACCGCTTGAATCAGCAATTTCGGACGGTGCTGGTATTGCAGCTAATTGGCGGGCCTCGCTCACACACACCGGCAATCTTCTCCCGGGGCGGTCGTCGGCAATTGCCAAAAAACCTGTTAATCATCTGGTTTGATAGGGATCGCAGAATTCTGAAACTGAGAAGCCGACTGCCATCACTCTACGGCGCTCATAAGTCACAATGCCAGAAGTTCGCCCACCACCATAGATGTGACTCGAAAGAGCCGCTCAGTGTCCCTATCTGGATGATAAATGATTGGGTGGCTAAGAGGGTTGGGGAATGTTTGTGATAGAGCGAGTAGATTCTGGAGAGCTGTGGCAACGTCGGATTTACTGAACACGCGGTCGCCGACGTTCAGCAGTGTGAGAGAGACGAAATTGCTCGCAAAATGACACATAATTTGCGGATAGTTGCTAATAATTGACCGAGGCGAGCAGTCCAGTACGCCTTTCGAAGTCGCCCCACCACTTGTGCTGTCTCTCCACCTTCTTTACTGATCTAAATGAAGTCTGAAATCTGCCCCCATTACTAGCATTCGCTTAATTCGTTTTTATGATTTTCAAAATCACCGTAGATCGATTTCTCAGAGGTTTTGTTCGCTACATGGTACCTGAGCGATTCCCAATTAGCGTTGAGAGACTTCAAAAATCGCGAAAGCCACGGAGATGAACGCCAACGCGAATAAATCCAAATAGAATTGACCAGTTGCATTTTTCAAGTTGACCAGAAAGTTTAGAATTGTCCAGTTCGTTCGGGGAGGGGGTGGTGCATACGTCTATCTGTGTAAAGCTTTGAAAACGTTCATAACTAGAGCATCTTTTGAAGTGACTTCTGCCGTTTCTTTCGGTCAAGCCCTTCAATTTGCCTCCAGAATAAGCTTTTTCGTCTTTCCCCTTTACTACGGGGCATTTTATTTTTAGGGTGCAAATGTACCGATTGTGTTTGGTTGCATGCTTTCGCCCAGGCTCAGTTTGAATCGTTCTCAGGGATACGCTCTGCTGGTCTAAGTTCCTAAAGCAATTCAGGGAGGGCATGCTGACTTCCTGTCAATGCCAGAGGTTCCCAGACTGTGGTAAGCTCTGTAGAGTGGGAGACGATATCAAACCGCCTTTCTTGTTAACAGAACCCTATTCGAAGCGGAAAGCGTCCGGATTTATTTCCGAGCCGTCCTTTTTTTCTGATTTCCCTTTCTGCAGTAGTCCTCAATTAACTGGCGCAGCAAGGCCATGGCGCTGGAACAGTGGCCGCTTGAGCTTAAACATGTAGAGTCAGGCCCATGGAGCAGTCCAACGTCGGCGGATTCTGCGACGACGCCACGACCTTTCACGTCGAAGCGGCGAATGCGCATTCCGTTACTCACCCACACCCATACACACTCTCGCACCACACAAAATTGCCACCCGCAAAGCAATCGACAAAATTACCGTATTATTAGCAGGTGATTGGCCGTAATTTGGTGGGACTCGATAATTTGCCCATTTTCGCTCTCTCCCCTCGCTCGCCTCACAGCCAGTCGTTTTCAGGCTCAGCACCGTGAGCTGTTCTTCGCCTCAGGTCTGCTTAATGTGTCTTTTGCCCTGTTGTTATGACGAGCTACAGCGATGTTGCAGCTCGCCCTCCTCTTTGAATGTTCGCAATCTCTGATTTACCTTGCTGTTTCCTGAGCTCGGTTCTCTCATAGGTTCGAGAAATTTATTGACTACTCCCCTCTACTTCGTAACTCTCTCCCCTCTACTGTCCTTCCACGTCTAGACCCAAAAAGGGATAACTCCAGAAAAGCTCTAATGTGAAGGTACCAGCCAGAATAGAGCCGTTCAGGATTAATGTTTCAGTAGGCCCTGGGTTGCTTGTCGCCTTCAGTCAATGTAAGCATTCGCCCCTTCCCAGATATCCTGCCCACTACCATCCAGAGCCTCGCTCTCGAATCGATTTCTCAGATATTTCCGGGGATACTGTAATGTCTGTACGTTAGACAAATCGATGACGGAGAAAACTCGCTCGAATTCGTCGTCGTCGTCGTCGTCGGTGGGTCGTCATGTCGGTGGGGGCACTTCTCTGGCGCTCTCTGTGTCTCGCACGATCTTCGACAGGTCTCCCGCTGCTTCCACCATTGTATGCACCTCATAATTACACGATCAAGAGGTCTGGCCTGACCCTTAAACCTGCCTTAAGAGACACAGGGACGACGTCGAGTAGCAGATTTAACCACTAACTACTTAGTAAACAACATCATAAGAGTATAATCAGCAGGTGAAGTAGTGAGACGTATCGTTGGGGTGGTCCCAACGGTAAGGTGGTACCGGTAAGCCAGAACTCAATGAAAGTAGTAATTATTGGCACGAGAAGTGATGTCGGGAGATAATCCTGAAGTTTATCGGTTGCTTCCTCGGAAGAAAGGTTTTTCTTGAAAAAAAAATCAGGAATATGCGACAGAATTTTCTGATGAACTTAAGCCCACACAGCGCGCTCGCAATGCTCACAGCTCTGAGGGCTTTTTCCTATTCTCAGCATGAATTCGAGAAAATCCGATCAGAAGTAGTCCAAACAAGACCTCAGCAGCCTCTCTGCCTCTAATGAGACTTTCCTAGATCTCAGAAACAACCTTTCTCTTTTATAATTCGAAAGGATTTGTATTGACTTTTGAAGCAGCATCGAATGTTCCACCTTTAGCTTAGTGAAAGGCTGGCTATTTATTCAGCCAAATTGAGGTTTTGAGGCAGCGCGTCATGTAACTTCCTAAGCTTTTATAAGTTCCTGATTAACGAATCTGAAGTCTAGATAGGACAACCATGGAAGTTCTAGATCGGTTATGGCATGCTTAGCCAGATGGTGAGAAAACTGAAAGAACCATTCACTCGGCACTACTACGGACTATACACCGTTTCCTCGATTGAAATTTCACTTATAACCTCGAGAAAGGAACTCCTTCACAGTTAATTTTTATGCTAAATTACTGCTGGATGACACTGAATCGGGTGGCGTGGGAATTTCCCACATAACCGACCACCTAGATGTCCTGAGGCTTCGCTCCAGCCGCCCCGGATGCACAGTCCAACCTTTTCTCCTCACACAACAGCGAAGAGGTCAGGTGTCTGAAGTGTGAACAGTGATTTTGAGGCGTCTGAGAAAAGTCACAGAGGAAACTGAGTTGTCGAGAAAATACAACAAACACTGGCGGGTCTCTTATCTCGCGCTGCTGCTGGTGCTGCTACGAAGGGGACGAACCCCGTCATTACAACCCTCATTCCAGCCGGATAATAACCGCCATAAAATCCAGTCTGTTCCCTATGTAATTGACAGGTCTTCCTACATCAACACACACACACAACCACACAGACTGACCGACCGTGATTCCTTGCTGCAATTCATCCAGTGGCTCTTTCTTTTCATTCGATCATTTCAAATCGAATGAGCTTCGAAAATGGTCACTGTATATCTCTTCTCTTTAAGTCCATGTCAGTTTTTGAAAAATATTTGAACTGGTTTTTGTTTTGACGGCTGTGCGTGCGTACGGTGCGGTGGTGTGGCGGCGGTGTGAGTGTTTTGAGAGCCGTGTCGTCGTGTCAGGGCCAGTTTCGACGGTTCCTCTTTGGTATACGGTATGGAGATTTCTGTCACCAGCGATTTATAAGGGAGAAGAGGTTTTGTGCTTTTATAAAATCGCCAGTCTTGTCCGGATACTAGAACACTTCCACGCTACCTTCTAGTTTGCTCCGTGGAACGTATGACTAGCCGATTCAGTCTTTTCGTTACGGTAATAATGTACATCAATGAACAGTTTCTTCCAAGTTGCAGGGGTGATACTAGTGAATACCTATTGAGGCTCTCGAAATGCCAGAAAAAAAGAGAATTACCGTACTCTTTTATAATCGTGATGAACCGTCGCTTGATGTCCCTTCAAGCAGCACTTCTGGCTAGGCACTCGTTCACAGCCGAAGATAGGGCGTTTTCTTCGAAAAGTTGGTCACTTGGGGACAGTAACGGACAGTGGCTAGTAGCTGCTGGTATTACGACGCCAATGGCACCACCTGAAGTTCTTTGCCAACAGCTATAGCCACCTGCACCGGCCCTCTGCATGGACTCACCATGGGTTACTTCACCGCAAAGCTTAACCGAGTTACCGTAATCATCTCATCAAATCGATTTCTGGGTATCAAAGAGTAAAAGCCGTCGCTATAGTTGCGTATAAGGGACCGGCACAAGCAGCAAGCAAAAGCAGCAGTTGCGGTATGCAATTATTGAGAGGCAGCCAATTATTCGAGCCACCCGATGGCTGCGACAGCGCATATCCACACATACCATAATCTCGATGAACAAGAAAGGCGAAAACAAACTCTTTGCTCCCGTCGTTGCGCTCCCCCCGTCATCATCGCGTTTTTTCACACCCCCCAGCGCCCAACTATGGAATGGAATACGGTAGCGTCGAGCACACAACAGCATAAAGGCGTCGAATCTTTCGTGCCCTTGTAAGGCAGCGGGGATTTCCAAAGTCTGAGGGTTTCCGCAATGTGCCGAGGCCGGCGCGAGCCAAGATAATTACAGGAGGTGAAAGAGGAAGCTGCCGGAATCGCAGGTGAATCGACCATATGGTATCGCATGCCAAGCGGGCTCCTGACGCCGT